CATTTATTAATATATTTCATCATATTAATGGATCAAAATGAACAGTCATATGATCATCTCCACAGATGCTGAGAAGGTAATTTGACAAAATTCAACATCCATTCTTGATACAAAAAAATAACTCCAATAAAATAAGAGCAAATAGATACTTCCTTATCATGATATGTCATCTCTCTCTCAACTAAAAGCCTGCATAATGTTTTGTGGGGAAACAATATACGCTGACTCCCAACAATATGAGGAGCCAAGGGAGAACAAGCACTATTGTTTAATGTTGTTCTGAAAATACCTGGCAATGTCTTTACGCTTTAAGTGTGTCTCTTGAAACAGCATGTAGCTAGGTTTTATGTTATACAATCTGATAATTTTGTCTTATGACTGGTGGGTACAGTCATTCATATTTATTATGATTGGTGATATATTTTTATTTATTTCTACAGTCTTATTTTGTGCTTTTTATTTGTAATATTATTTTTCCGTATTTACTTTTGTCTCCCTATTTTCCTTCTTTTGGGTTGATTTTTTATAATCCACTTGTGATAGCAAGAATAATGGCCACCAAAGATGTTCATGCCCTAATCCTCAGAACCTGTGAATATGTTACTTTACATGGAAAAGGGGTCTTTGCAGATATGATTAAGGTTATGGACCTTGAGATGGGGATATTATCTTGGATTAGAAAAGTGGGCCTAATCTATTTATTACATGAGTCCTTAAAGGTGGAAAAACTTTCCTAGCTATAGTCAGAGAGACATGTGACAACATAAGAAGGGTAAGAGAGAAGCAACAATGCTGGCTTTGAAGATGGAGGAAGGAGACCATAAGCCAAGGAATTCAGATGGCCCCTAGAAGCTGGAAAAGGCAAAGAAATGGATTCTCCCTGAGAGCCTCAAGAAATGTAGCCCTGCCAACAATTTTATTTAGCACAGTGAGACCTGTGTTAGACTTCTGACCTACTGTAAGATAAATTTGAGTGGTGGTAAGCCACAAAGTTTATGTTAACTTGTTATAGCAACGATAGAAAACTAGTGCACCACCTATTTCTTGGTTGTATTAATTTGGAAGTTGTACACTTTTTAAATTATTTTAGTGGTTACTCTATAAAATTTAACATGCATTTTAACTTACTAAAGTCTAAACTTAGTCAATATATACCTTATTAAGTGTCATCTCCCCCTTTTATTCCTATCTTGTTCTTATCTCCATGACTTATCATTACTGGCTTTTTTTACTTAGCATTCTTTTAGATTTACCCACAAATTTATCAATTTCTTTTCTCATCATTCTTGCATCTCAGACTGTTCATTTGTGATCAGTTTATTTCTGTTTGACACACATCTTTTAGAATTTCCCTTTGTGAGAGTATGCTGGTGGCAAGCTCCCTAAATGCTGATATATCTGAAAATGTCTTTATTTTCACCTTGCTCTTGAAAGATATTTTTGCTGGGTATATAATTCCATGTTGACAGTTCTTTTCTCTCAGCATATTGAAGCTACAAATCCACTGTCTTCTGGCTTCCATTGCTGTTGTTGGGAAGTCACTTGAGAGTCTAATTATCACTGTGAATTGTTGTCTTATCAATTTTGGAAAACTCTCAGCTATTATCTTTTTAAATATCACCACTGCCCCATTTTCTCTCTCATCTTCTACTAGGATTCTGATTAAGACATATGCTAGACCTGCTTATTCTATCACTCTACCTCTTAAATTCTTTAGAATTTCCATGGCCTTGGCTCTTGGTCCTGCATTCTCAGTTATCTCTTCAGATCAGTCTTCTAATTCATGAATTTTATCTTCAGCCAAGTCTCATATGCTGTTAAACTCACCTATTAAGTATTTATTTCCAATTACTATATTTTTAATTTCTTGAAGTTCTGTTAGAGTCTTTTTAAAATCTGTTTGGTCATTTTTGATTCTCTTGCTCTTTACTTATACGTTCCATTCCTCTGTTATGAGTTGAATTGTTTCCCCTCAAAATTCATATGTTGAAGTCCTAATCCCCAGTTCCACAGAATGTGATGTTATTTGGAGATTGAGACTTTACAGAGGTAATCACATTAAGATAAGGTCATTAGGTTGGGCCCCAGTCCAGTATGACTAGTGTCCTTATTAAAAGGGGAAATTTGGACACAGAAACATGCAGAGAGGGAAGACAATGCGAAGGACATGGGGAGAAGATGGCCATCTACAAGCGAAGGAGAGAGATCTGGAACAGATCCTTCCCTAATAGCCCTCAGAAGAAACCAACCTTGCCAACACCTTGATTTTGGACTTCTAGCTTCCAGAACTGTGAGACAATAAATTTATTTTGTCACCCAGTCTGTAGCAGCCACCCAGTCTGTAGCACTTTCTTACAGTAGCCCTAACTAATACACCTTCTTTTGTTACTTTAAATATATACTTATTTTCTAGTATATGTCTGATATATTTTAATATCTGAAGATTTATGGGTTTGATTCTGTTTGTTGTTTCTTATGGCTCTTGCTAGTAGTGTCTTGTGTGCTTGTGTGTTTTGTGATTTTTTTTCCACTGTTGACTCTTATATCTTGGAATTTTACCTGTGGGTTGAAATGTGGCTTACACCAGAGTGGATTTATATTCACTTCTTTCAGGCATCTGAGTTCACTACAATCTAGAACCATTTAAGGTAAATCCTCGAGGTATTTTTGGAATATATAGGCGATGTGATTTCAGGCTGCAAAGAAGCATGATGGCAGGTATGCCTCTGCCTCAGGGCCTTTACACCTCCTGTTCCCTCTGCCTGGCATGCTCTCCTTCAAACATGCCATCAGTTTCTTCAGACCTCCGCTCAAACGGCATCCTATCATTGAGGCCTTCCCTGCCCACCCCGTATCCCACAGGTCACTCCTTGTTTTGCTATCTTGCTTTACTTTCATCCACAGCACTTAAGCATTTATCAACAGAGGAGAGATATATATACGTAAACAAAATATATATAAAAATAAAATATTTTGTTATGTATACATTATGTTACATATAATATATTGTATTATATAGACATAGAGATAGATATATCTTCCAGTGATAATTGCTTAAGTGCTGTAGATGAAAGTAAAGCAACAAAAAAGCAGACAAAAACATCCCTGCTTTCATGGAGAGATAGATAATAAAAAGGGTATATATATTACATTAAAATTTTTATTTTATTTTTATTATATTAAGATATGTATATATTTACATAATAATATAATATATATAACCTTTTTATTATCCATCTCTCAATGAAGGCAAGGATATTTTTGTCTGCTTTGTTTAATGCAGAATCTTCAGAATAGTGCCTGCCATGCAGCACATGCTCAATAAAGATTGATTGAACATGAAGAAACAACATCCATCCACACTCTGGGTCATTTCTAGGAAATTTTTCACTCTTGCTATTGCTTGCTGCAAGTCACTGATTCCACGGGAGACCAGACCCCAGAAGCTTGGCCACAGCAAACTCTGCAAACACAAACACTCCACTATTGCCTACCCTTCACTTCGAGTGCATCCACAAAACCAACGTTACTCATGCTGCAATTTTCAAGAACATGTCCTGCTCAAGGTGAGCAAAGACTGCTGACATAAATCTGGGAACAAAAAGGCTTCACTCTCAGTGAAAGAATGAGCTAGAAATAAAACTGCCTCTGCCCAAGGGACTAAGGGAAATTTCTGTCTTAAATCTTGGCATTAAGTAGAAAGGTAAAAAAGTCCTCTGAACCTTTATAGCCACAGGCCTGTCATCATGCTTCCTTGTAGCCTCAAATCCCATCTCCCAGGCATTATGGATTATCAAGATTATGGATATCAGGATTATGCTAGCTTCCTGAAAACTCTTTGGAAGTGTCCCTCCCTTTGCTATGCTCTGGAATACAAGTAACATATCCAAAAGAGTACAAAGGAAATCAGGACCACATGATGAAAGATTAAAAGACATAAAAGCAATGAAAACAGGATGCACAACAGGAAATATGCTGGGAGACCTAAAACTAAATAGATCTGTCATACCTACAAACAAAATTGGGCTCAACAGTAGAATTTACGTACTGAAAAACAGAATACTCTCAGATTGGACCACAAATGGCTAAAGTAGTTCTCAGATTAATACATAGCCCAAAATACATCTATAAATAAATCAGAAAGGGTGAGATTAATTGACTTACACATTCAACTAAAGAAGTTAGAAAAAGAAAAAAACAGAAAAGCAGATGGAAGGACTTTAATGAAATAAAAGCACAAATGAATGAATCAGAAAACAGAAAAATGATATAAATGCAAGAACTGGTCTTCAAGTGGGGGGCATAAAAAAATAAAACATTAGTATTAGTTTACCTAATTGAGGAAAAAGAAATCACAAATACACTCTATGAGAAATGATACTGGAGACATAACCACACATATAGAGAAAATTAAATGAATCAGAAGAGACTACTTTGCTCAAATTTTTACAAATATATTAAGAACCCTGAGGAAATGTATGATTTTTACAAAAATTACGAGGACCACATATATCTATATCTATATATCGATGGATATATCAATATAAATACATATACAATCTAAACAGAGAAAACATGATGGAAGAAATAGAAAAAGATGACAAAGAGATATCCTTCAAATAATCCACTATGCCCAAATAAATTCCCAGGAAAATTCTACAAAACCTTTAAAAACCAAACAACACCAAAGCAGTGCTCATTGTTCCAGATGCATTTATTCTGTGAAGAGGGCTGAGATACTTTGAGGGCGAGCAAATCCATTCCATATTTACAGTGTTGAAAACACTCTAAGGGCCTGACCAGATTATTCTGTGGAGGGGTAATCAGACATAATTAGGAATATATGAGTCTATTCTACAGTTGAGGAGGTGCCACATTTTTTCATGTCCAACATGCCCACAGGATTTCTGTTCAGTGTGAGTTTTCCCATGCACAACAAGGTCCGATTTCTGGGAAAAGACCTTCCCACAATCAGTATGTATGTAAAGTTTCTCTCCCATGTAGATTCTGATGTCCAGTGAGGTGTATATGCTGGCAGAAGACCCTCCCACAGTCACTGCATTTGGAGGGTTTCTCCCCCATGTGTGTTTTCTGATATGTGATCATTTGTGATTTCTGGGAAATGTTCATCCCATACTCAGCACATTCAGGGGGTTTCTCCCTAGTATGGGTTCTCTGATGGACAGCTAGTGGAGACTTCTCACAGAAGGCCTTTCCACATTCACTACATTCATATGGTTTCTCTCCAGTATGAGCTCTCTGATGTATAATGAGATGTGACTTCAGGGAAAAGGCCCTCCCACACTCAGTACACTCATAGGGTTTCTCCCCTGTATGAATTCTCTGATGAATAATGAGGGGTGATTTCTGGGAGAAGGTTTTGCCACATTCACTACACTCATAGGGTTTCTCCCCTGTATGAATTCTCTGGTGTATAATAAGAGGTGATTTCTGAGAGAAGGCTTTTCCACATTCTGTACATATATAAGGTTTCTCTCCAGTATGAAGCCTTTGATGTCCAGTGAGGTGTGACTTCTGGGAAAAGGCCTTCCCACAGTCGGTACATACATAAGGTTTCTCTCCTGTATGAATTCTTTGATGTCCTATGAGGTGGGACTGCTGGCAAAAGGTTTTCCCACATTCACTACACTTATAGGGTTTCTCTCCAGTATGCGTTCTCTGATGGATGATGAGCTGTGTTTTCCGAGGGAAAGTCTTCCCACATTCAGTACATTCATAGGGTTTCTCCCCAGTATGAGTTATCTGATGTATAAAAAGGTGAGACTTCTCACAGAAGGCTTTCCCACATTCACTGCATTCAAAGGGCTTCTTTCTGGTGTGAACTCGCTGATGTATAATAAGATGTGACTTCTGGGAGAAGGCTTTTTGACACTCAAAACATTCATAGGGTTTCTCTCCAGTGTGGACTCTCTGATGAACGAGGAAGGGCGACTTCTGGGAGAAGGTCCTCCCACACACAGTACATTCATAAGGCTTCTCCCCAGTATGAATCCTCTGATGCACAATGAGGTGTGATTTCTCACTGAAGGCTTTTCCACAATCTCCACATACATACGGTTTCTCTCCAGTATGAATTCTTTGATGTATAATGAGCTGTGACTTCTTAATAAAGCCCTTCCCACACACACTACAAACATTGGGTTTCTCCCCAGCTTGAACTTTCTTGTTTTGAATATGGGTTTGCTCATGATTGAGAACTTTTTCACACGGACTATGTCCACAGGATTTCATTCCAGTGTGAATTTTCTCAGGCACAGAACAGGAAGCACTATAGCTAGGTGGTCTCCCACATCCTAATCTCTCAATGGGGTTCTTTCTTGCATAGCTCCTATTACAAGTCAGTGAGTCTAAATTATATTTCAATCTCTTTTCACATGAATGAAGACTATGGAGTTTTTTACTTGAAGGATCAAAGTCTATGCACCCACTGAATATTTTTCCAAACGTATTATATTTGGGGATTCTCTTTTTGGTCAGTGTTTCATGGCTGATTACTGTGACCTGCCTCAAAACTCTGTCTTGTTTTCCTTGATATCTATCTATCTGACCATCAATATGCCAGACTTTTAAGATAGAGTACAGTGAATTATCCTTTGGGGCTCTTTCCAATATCTCCTTTTGAAATGAAAGTTCTCCAGAAATGATCTGCTGGGAAGCATCAAGGCTTTTCTCCCTGTCTGAAAGAAGAAGGAAAAGGTAGAATCAAAAAGTCACCAAAAAGAAAACAGCAATGGACAGATGTGCTAGGAAGGTGGCTGCTGTAGGATGCATGTTATAAAGGAGGCCTGAGGGCCGGCCCCATGGCTTAGCGGTTAAGTGCGGGCGCTCGGCTGCTGGCGGCCTGGGTTCGGATCCCGGGCGCGCACCGACGCACCGCTTCCCCGGCCATGCTGAGGCCGCGTCCCACATACAGCAACTAGAAGGATGTGCAACTATGACATACAACTATCTACTGGGGCTTTGGGGAGAAAAAGGAGGGGGATTGGTGATGGATGTTAGCTCAGAGCCAGTCTTCCTCAGCAAAAACAAAAGAAGAGGATTAGCACGGATGTTAGTTCAGGGCTGATCTTCCTCACAAAAAAAATAAAATAAAATAAAGGAGGCCTGATGAATTTTAAGGAAATGGAGGCCATTGATGTCAGGGAAGAAGAAAATGCCTTCTCGGCCATCCACCCAAGTCTCACTTACCTGAGTTGGACCTTGACAACTCACTCTCTATGATCCACGGGTCCTCTCCATGTTCCAACTTGAAGATCACATCTGGTGTTATACCTGAGTACCCTGTTAAGGGAACATTATAATGGCCTTAGCCTTGGCAGCTCAGAAATTCATGAAGAGAAGAAATAGTTTCAGAGGCCTCCCAGCAAAGACGGATCCTTACCTCACAAAAATAAATTCCAGATATAACAAAAATATAAACATAAAAACTAAAACTGTAAAAGAAAACACCCTGTTAATGGAAAATCATAAAGTTCATGGTCTTGCCAGCTCTGAAGGATGAGGAAGGTTTAATTCATTGTTACACAGAGAATTTGCCCTTACCCACAGAGACCAGGTGGCTATAGATCTCCAGCATCACCTCCCTGTGCAGCGTCTTCTGAGCAGGGTCCAGCTGCTGCCACTCTTCCTGGGTGAAGTCCACAGCCACATCCTCAAATGTCACTGGTTCCTATAACAGCACATTCCTGTACAGTCTGCTCATTCTGATCATTTTTACCACAGCAATGCCTGTAGGATGCCTACTTTGCACTTTGTATTGCATACTTAATGAGAAAAACAATGTAAAATCCTGCCATTAGCAAGAATAGTTAGTGGAACAGAACAGAGAGTCTAAAAATAGATGCAAATAAAAATGGGAAATTTAATATATAATAAAGGTGGCATTTTAAATAAGTGCAGAAAAGATGGATTATTCAAAACTGGGTAGTTATCAGAAAAAAATGTAAAGTTGGATTCTCTATCTCACACTATACACAAAAATAAATTTGAGCTATAACAAAAATTTAAACAAAGAAAAAAGGGAAGCCCTAAAATAAAGACAGGAGAGGTTTTTTTTTTTCTTTTTAAAAAGAATTTTAGAGTGGAGAAGATTCTTCTAACCAAGCATGCTACAAAACCCAGAAGACACAAAGGAAAACACTGATAAATTTGATTAATTTATGTTTTGCATGGCAAAATATATCATAAACAAACTCAATGGACAAGCAACTAACTGGGGAGAAGATATATGCACAACACATATAATAGCTGATTATTATACATTATAACATAACATATTATATTATAACAGCTAATTCCCTCAATATAGGGAGAGAGCTCCTACAAAGCAAGAAGAAAAAGACCAACAACTTAACTTTTTAAAGAATAATCAAAGGATATGACCACCAATTCACAGAAAAGAAAATGCAAATGGCTTCTAAACATGTAAAACAATGCTCAACCATGCAGTCTATACAGAAACTGATAAATAATAATGTACACCTGAAATTACACAATGTTATAAACAAATATGACCTCAATAAAATAATTATAAAAAATTAAAATTAAAAAAATAAAACATGCTCAACTTCACTCACATGAAGAGAAATGCAAATTAAAATAAGACAACTTGTTTCCCTTATATATTATCAAAGATTCGAGTTTGATAAGTCACTCTGAGTTTGGTGAAGATGTCAAGAAAGGAGCACACTCAAATTTACACTGGTACATTATATTTTGAGGGCAATTAATTTGGCAGTATCCATCAGAATGTTAAATGTACATATCCTCTAGCTAGTAATTCCATTTCTAGAAATTATTCTACATAAATACTCATATATGTGAGCAAAATAACTCATGTGAAGATACTGCACTACAGTACTGTTTACAATAGCAAAAGAATGAAAACAACCTCAAGGAGGATTGGATGAGCCAATTATGCTTCAGTCCCTATAAGGGAATACCACACGCTACCACAAACAGCAACAAGGGGGGCCGGCCCCGTGGCTTAGTCGTTAAGTGCGCGCGCTCTGCTACTGGCGGCCCGGGGTTCGGATCCCAGGCACGCACAGACGCACTGCTTCTCCGGCCATGCTGAGGCGCGTCCCACATACAGCAACTAGAAGGATGTGCAACTATGACATACAACTATCTACTGGGGCTTTGGGGAGAAAAGGTGAAAAAAAAGAGGAGGATTAGCAATAGATGTTAGCTCAGGGCCAGTCTTCCTCAGCAAAAAGAGGAGGGTTGGCATGGATGTTAGCTCAGGAGTGATCTTCCTCACAAAAAAAAAAAAAAAAACAGCAACAAGGAAGCTCTACATGGATTGATATGCAACAATCTCTAAGATATATTGTTAAGTGCAAAAAATCATTCATCCATTCAGCAAGCAGTTATTGAGCACCTGCTAAATACCAGGCAGTGCTCTAGGGACTGGGGATACAGCAGGAAAGAAACTCGGCAAAAACACCTTCCCTCAAGGATCTTATATTCTAGTTGGGGGGGACAGACAACAAGGTTGAGAGATACATCACCACCTAGCCCCCCTCCCAAAAAAAGAGTTTGTAATGTGTACTTCAAAATTCATATCACTCATATACAAAAAGCTCCTAGAAAGCAATAAGCAAAAGACAAAGTAGGAAAGGGGGATTTACAGAGAAATACAAAATGGCAAATAAATATACGAAAAGATGCTGATGCTCATTTAACCATTAAATAAAAGCAAATGAAAATAAGAGATAATGCTCACTCATAAAAATAGCAAGAATGAAAAACATTGAGGCTATTTGGTAATCAGACAAATATTGGGAAATAGGCCTCCTTGTAAATGATTTGTAGCCACATGTGGAAGCTGATTACACAATATCAAAAGACAGTTTGAGAAATATCCTTTAAATTTTAAACATGCTTGCTTTCTGACCCAGCACATGAACGTCCAAGAATTTGGCCTACATAAATATTCGACAAATGTACAAAGATGTATTTATAAGGTTGTTCCCTTATTTGTGACTTCACTACTTTAGAGTCCTGGCTAGATCAGCTCTGCCTCAGTTTCTTCATCTGAAAAATGGGGATAATAATAGTACCTAGCACAAAATGTTCCCAGGTAAATTAAATAAGTTAATTCGATTATAATTTATTATAATGGTGCCTGGAACACAGTAAGCATTCAATAAACAGTAGCTGTTATTTTTCTTATTATTGTTACTATTATATATCAGAGAAAAAACTAGAAACAATAAAAAGGCCCATCAACAAGGGGCTGGTATCCTACAAACATTAAGAGGATAATAAAAGGATGCTATGAACAATTTTATGACAAGAAATTTGACAATGCAGATCAGGAGACTGCAAATTATGGTTCGCAGGCCAAATCCGGCCCACCAGTTAAGAATGGTTTGTACACTTTCAATGGCTGAAAAAAAAGTCAAAAGAAGAATATTTTGTAACGTGTGGAAAATTATATGAAATTCAGTGTCCATAAACAAAATGTTATCGGAGCATGGCCGTGCTCATTGGTTTACATATTGTCTACAGCTGCTTTCAACCTACAATAGCAGATTTGAGTAGTTGCAACAAAGACCATATGGCCCACAAAGCCTAAAATATTTCTATCTGGCCCTCTACACAGAAAGTTTGCTGGCCTCTAACTTAGACAAACTGGATAAATTACTTGAAAATCACAATGCACCAAACCCGACATTAAAAGAAACAGAAAATCTGAATGGTACCATATCTTTTAAATAAATCAAATTCATAATTAAAAACCTACCCACAAAGGAAACTCCACACCCTGATGACTTCACTGGGGAATTCTTCCAAACATTTAAGCAGGAAATAATACCAATCTTACCCAATCTCTTCCAGATAATACTTCCCAAATTGTTATAGGAGGCGAGTATAACTGTGATGCCAAAACATGACGAGAATTACACAAGAAAGGAAAATTACAGGCCAATACATCTCATGAACACAGTAGGAAAAATCCTAAACAAAATATTAACAAGGGACTGGCCAAATGATGACGATGATAGGAGTGGGTTAGGATAAATGATACATAAAGCAAGATTGGCCACTAGGGGATAATATTTGCAGCTGGCTAATAAGTCTAAAAAGATTCACTAAAATCTATTTTTGTGTATGTTCAAAATTGAAATTTCCATAATAAAATGTATACAAAGTACATTTGTTGGATACATTTTATTGATAGGTAAAAAAAAGTTTTTTACATACTACATACATACTACATCAGCACAGAAGATGTAGTATGTATATTTTTTGTGCATCGTTAAGAAAAATGCATGAAAATAATAAGATCACTCACACATATTTATATATATATACCTACACACATAGATGGGGTTTTATGTATAAAGAGTCTGGAAGGATCATCCCCAAACTACGCAATACTGCTTATGCCACGGAAGAAGGCAGAAGTTAGATTACAGAGATATTTCACTTTCTACTTTTTACTTTGCTGTATTGTTTACATTCTTTGCCCCATGTATAGATTATCCTTGAGAACAAAGAATAAAGACTGAAAACGGAAGAGCAGAGGAGATGGCCTTGAGTTGGACCATGACCCCACAAACTCTGAGATGACAGCAAAAGAGCTATGGAAAACCAGGAAACCACCCACTCTCCAAGTCTCTGCCAAAAAATTTTAACTAAAAACAGCCTCTTTGGAACAACTATTGATGATACCACACTGAGCTGAAAACCACTGGCCTTTAGGAAAACTCAACAATAAAATTTCTTAGACTAAAGGCCCAGAAATCTTGACTTGCTGAGGAGCTGGACTGATGAACTGATTTCTCTTCTCAAATCATCTGAGCATGTTTGCCCTTTTCACTGTAGGTGCCAGGAAGCTCGCAGATAAAATGTTTATCTCAGTTTATATGAAGGCCAGATGATCTGTGTATCTTCACAGCAACATTATCTGTATCTCGATCTTCTATTCTCTCTAAATTTCTCTAGCTCATTTTCAACTAATTGCCCTTTCCCATTTTGTTATGGGAAAACCAAATGGGAAGCAAACAACTTACCTGGGGCTCAATTATTTTCTGTTTCTCTTTGGAAAGCAATTGGGGGTGGGGTGGGGTACAGAGGAGTCTTCAGAGACCAGACTGGGTTAACCACTCTTCAGTGGCTAGATGTGAAATGTTTTGCTTGTTAATTCATTGACAACTTGTGTTTCTCATCTGACCAGTAATTCCATTTCTAGAACGTTGTCCTAAGGTAATAATCACGATGTGTGCAGAGGTTTAACTCCAGGAACCTTCATCACAGTTTTGTCTTAAACATCATAATATTGAAAATAACCTAAATGCCCAATCACTGAGGACTGAGAAAATAAGTTATGGAACCTCCAAAAGATGGAAAGGCAGGGGAACATTGTAAATAACACTATATATGATGAAG